CCCAAAACCCCAAAACCCCAAAACCCCAAAACCCCAATAAGGCCAATTGCAATTGATTTACTAAAATAAAAATGAGAAAGGAAATCTTCTTTATTATTGTGCTTCTCAGCATTACTTTACAAGGTGTTGCTGCCCAGGCTAGACCTAAAACATGGACTGAAGGACTCGGGGAATCTTTTTCTTCTGTGTTCGATAACTTCAACTATGAATATTTCATCAACAAGAGAAACCTCACTTCTGATAACTATGATGAGAAGAGAGCAGCTCTGATTAAGGAAGCTAATGAGGACTACTTCACTTTTGATGTACCCGAGCTGACTGAGAAGGAACAGAGAGCCAATGATATCATCCAAGATCTGAGAGAACAGGTTGTGCAAGGCGACCATTCTCCTCTGCTTCTTCCTTATTATGAAGGAAAGAAGCAGATATCTGGGAGTAATTTACACCAAGCGATTCGCAAGATGCCCAAGGGAGCACATCTCCACCTGCACCCATCTGCTGCATATCCACTTGATTTGATGATTCAACTTACTTATAAGGATGATGCTTACTATAACATCAAAGAAAACAGACTGTCAACTTTCCCAAATAAGGCTGCAGTGGAACCTGGATTCCACAAATGCAACTTCCTGAGGAAGAACTGGAAATTTGGAGGTACTTTTGATAGCTTCCTCAGAAACAAGATTTTGCTAACTGAAGATGAAATGAAATCCCAGGAAAGTAGCGAAGTCTGGAAGGGCTTTCAGGCTAAATTCGGTGTCATAGGAGACCTCTTCCAAACACCTGAAAATATCAGAGCTGGGCTCATGGAGATTTGCAAGAGAGCTCTTAATGACGGAGTTTATATTGTAGAATTTAGGAAAAGTCTTAGCGGCAATTTTACTAAAAAATTAGAGAATTACCAATACGTCCAAAGAGAAATGAAGAAGATAGATCCTGCCTTTGAGATCGCTCTTATTGTTGCTGTTGGTAAGAACAAAGAAGCCAAGATCAAGAGCCAGCTTGCAGTTTATAACCATGTTAGAAAGACTTATCCTTTCGTTACAGGATTTGACTTAGTTGGTGAAGAGGATGCTCTCCCTTCAATTTATTCCTTCAAAGATCTTATCTTGGATGCGATGAACCAAGACGACGATGAAGATGAACCGTAAGTTTTAGAATAACTTCTTATAGAACTGAAAATGACTTCAATCTCTTCTTCCATGCTGGAGAAACTACAGACAGGTATAACGAAAACCTCTATGATGCCATCTTGCTTGGCACCAAAAGAATTGGACATGGGTTCGGTATTTTGCTCCATCCAGGACTCATTGATAAAGTCATTGAAGAAGATATCGGTATTGAGATTTGTCCTATCAGCAATCTTGTGCTTGCATACACACTTGATATGAGATGGCACCCAATCAGAACCTTGATGAACAGAGGTGTCTCTGTAGCAATCAGTTCAGATGATCCTACATTCTTTGACTATGACAACTTGTCATTAGATTTCACTTATGGAATCATTGCTTGGCAGCTAGACTTAAAGGATCTGAAGCAACTGGCACTAAACTCGATCAAGGAGAGTTCAATTCACGAAGATTTGAAGACTAAGGTGTATGCTAAGTTCTACAAGGAATGGGAAAATTTCATAGATACTATTAACGTAAGTGCTTAAAACCAGCCATTTCAATATAAAGTCTCCAAAAGGGGTTTTGGGGTTTTGGGGTTTTGGGGTTTTGGGG